AAAGCCTCTTTGAAGAGCTTCCAGCTCGTTCAGAATACAGCAGCTAGGATCTTAACAGGTACCAAAAGGAGGGAGCACATAACTCCGGTGTTAAAATCACTCCACTGGCTCCCTGTGGAGTACAGAATAAAGTTTAAAATCCTACTCTTAACATATAAAGCCATAAATGGCTTGGCTCCTTCTTATCTCCAAGACACGTTAGTGTCGTATCAACCAGGTCGAGCGTTGCGCTCACAAAACGCCAGACGTCTGGTGGTCCCTAAGGTCTCAAAGGTCACTGTTGGTGGCAGAGCATTTAGCTACCAAGCTCCTTTACTGTGGAATCAGCTTCCCATTTATGTTAAGGAAGCAGATACGGTCTCCACATTCAAGGCCAGGCTTAAAGCACTTTACTTTAATTTAGCATATAATTAGGTAATATATAATATGTAGTGTATATATTATATATATATGCTGTATTATGTTATATATTATGTTATATATTATTCAATAATGTATTGTGTTATGTTGTATATTATGTTATATATTATGCTGTATGTTATTCTTTATTCAAGGCTAGGTTTAAAACAGTCCTCTTTAGTTTAGCATATGGCTAGGAAGGTAAGACTCGGAGAAGGTTAAACTCCTCAGAGTGTCAGTCAAGCTGCATAGGGAGTCAGTTTGCTGGGAGAAGTATGGTAACTTGAGCACTATCCTCTCCTCCTTCCTACTTTATCTGTTTAGCATTATTAGGATTCTGACTGTAGTTTGTTCATTGCTATTCACCCGTTGTTCCCATTGTCTGTTTCATGGTACGATGACGGGATCTCTGAGCCTGGCCTCCTCCATCTGCACCTGCGGACTGCCCCGCCCGACCCGCCTGGGAGTGCTTCGGTCCTGCACCGGACCTGTCCACGTTCAGCGGCCACTGGTCCACGTTCTGTAGCTAGCTTAGGTCCTGGATCATTAGTCTGTCCGTCCGGAGGAGCGGATCCCTTTCTCATATGGGTCTCCCTCCCTGTGGGTTTCCCTAGTTCTCCTCCAAGGTTTCTCACTTTTTCCCACTGAGTTTTTCCTTGTCGATGCAGGAGGGTCTTGTTGGACAGTTAGTGTCCAACAGAAAGGATTGGTGATGATCAGGACACTTTAGCATTCTACAACATGTATGGACATTTTCTTCTGTGTGTGCTTTATATTCTTCATGTGTTTTAACTGTTGATTCTCTGACCTGTGTTGGTGATTTCAATGGTTTTGTTAAGTCTCTGAGATGACTTCTGTTGTGACCTAGGGCTATACAAGAATTGGAGTTTGGGGGTGGGTGGTTTGGATATGTGTTTAGTTTTTATTAGTTTGTGAGTTGGGTTTTTATGTTAATAGGGTTTTATGGTGGTGTAGAGAGGGGATTGGTTTTAGTTTTGTTGGTAAGAGGTGTTTGGGGATGTGTATGATGTGTAAATGGATTTGATGTTGTGTGGGGGGGAGAAGATTATGGGAGTATATAAAATTGGGGGGGGTGATTATGGGTTTAGATTTGGTATGTGGGGATGATTGAGAGATAAGGGAGGGGGAAGGGAATATATAGTAGAATAAGAAAAGGAAAGTGGGGTTAAAGAGAAAGGGGAAGAAGAGGAATATGTGATGAGATGGGAAAGGGGTGGTGAAATATTTTTTGAGAGGATTATATTATTAAATGTGTAGGGTAGGATGGGGAGGGTATAGTTTGTGATTATTAGGTGGTAAGGGGTTGGCGTGTCTAAAAGAATAAAATATAGGTTGATTGATTTAGAATTGAGATAGGAATATATTTATTGCGGAAGTGGGGTGGGGGGGGGGGGAGGGTGGGGGAGGGGTTAGTGGGGGTGATGGTGGGATAATTATAGTAGTAAATGTGGGTGTGTGGTGGTTAGGGGGGGGTGTTAGGAATATTGTGAATGAATTGAAGGGGATGGGTAGGAGAGAATTGGTGAGGGGGATTTAGGATTTTGAAGGGGAGTGGGTGAGGGTGTGGTTGTTTGGGATTGAAAGAGGAATGGAGGAAAGGGGGAATGGGAGTATGGTATATGTGATAATGAAAGGTGTGGGAGAGTTTGGTGTTTGAGAGGTTGTGGTATGTGGGGGGGGTATTGGATAGATTTTGGATAATAGTTGATTATGTTTTTGGGGTGAATGATGGGATTTTTGAGGGGTGAATAATGGGGATGTGAGGTGAGAATGAAGGGAGGGGATAATGGGGGGTTTGTGGTGAGTAGTATAGGATTATTGGGTAGAAGGGTATTGTATTGGATTTGGTTGTTTATTGGGGGGAATAATGTATTGGTTTGTGAGAGTGGTGGGTAATAGTTTTAAGTGGTGGTTTAAAGATGGGAATTGGATGGGTTAATTGGATGGAGGGGTAGTGTGGGTAGGTAGAGTTTAAATGGTTGAGTAAGATGATTGGGGGGGGTTGTGGGTGGGTTTTGGTTTATTGATGGTTGTTTTGTATGGGATGAAAGGATGTGGTGTATATATGGTTTATTGTAATGTGGGGAATGTGGGGTGTGAAGTAGGAGGAGGAGATTTGGTGGGGGGGTGGGGGAAATGGGGTAAATGGGGGGTAGGGGTAGAAGATAGGAGGGAAAAAGAAGAGGAGGAATGGAGAGAGGGTGGTGGGTGTGAGGGGGGTGTGAGAGGGTTATTGATGGTGTGGTGTTAATGAAGTTGGTTGAGGTTTGGTTGTTTTAATTGATATGGTTTGATTGAAGGTGAGGGGATGAATTATTTGGGGATAATAAGGTGGGGGAGGGATGATATTATATGAGAATTTGGTATTTAGAAAAGTATTAGGGAGAAGAAGAATGAGTAGGGGGTGAAGTGGGGGGGATGTGTGGGGATGGGGGAATATTTTAGTTAGATGGAAATAGGGATGTATAAGGGGGGGTGGTGGGGGGAAGTTTTAAGGGGAAGGTAGGTAAAAGGATTTATTAGATAGTGGATTAAAAAATAGGAGGGAGGGGGGATTATTTTGTGTGTAGTAAGGGTGGGGTTGTAATGGGGTTTGAGGGGTTGGTGGGGGTAGAGGGTGGGTTTATGGATGTTGGGTTTTTAAATGGTTAGGGAATTTATTATAATTATGGGAAATAGGGGAAAGGAATATAAGGGGGGGGATTATATTAATTTTTGTGTGTGGAAGGGGAGTGTTGGGGGGGGAGGTGGAGTATTGGGTGGGAGGGGGGATTTGTGGTGGGAGGTTTATGGTGGAGTAGAAGTTCTTTTCCTTTGATTGTTTTGGACTTTCTCTGCTACCGACGGTGGTTCATATCAGGATGGATATGGTCTAGGCATCTTAACATTGTTTTGCCCCACATTTGGTTATCTACGCAAGATGCAGGCGTTCTCATATTTGCAATCAATTGCTCTATTCATAATAGAAGTGATGGTGTAGAAGTTGAGTGTTATTTTTGATACGAAGGAAAATAATGAGATAGTGAAGTATGGTTGGTGTATGATTGGAGAGCGAGGTAAAGAAACAGGGGAGGTGTGGGGTGAGTGAGGTGGTTGGGGAGGAGGTTAGGAATAATAGATAATATGAATTGGGTTTTAAATTTTGGATTTAATTTAGGTAAAATGGGGGCGATTGGAATGAAGGAGGATTGGAGTGGTTTGAATGTATGAAGGAGAGTATGAGGTATTTGGTAGTTATTTTTATTGGTGTGAGTAGGAGTGGAAGTTGAATGGAAGGTGTTGGTGTGGAGGGGGGGTTGGGGGGAGGGAATGATGAGTGTATGAGGGAGTTGGAAATTGGGAGGTGTGGGAATTGGTATTTTGTGAGTTTATGGAGTTTTGGTGGGGGGATTAATGGTTAAAAGATGAATTTTGATGTAAGTGAGGTAAGATGGATTATAATAATGAGGTTTTTTTTTTTTTTTGTTTTATGGATTGGGGGGGTTATTATTATGTAACTGATGTGTTGGTGTGGATAAATGAATAGAAGTATGGGGTAGGTAGGGGTATTTATATTTGGGTTGTATTTGGTAGAGGTTAAGGTGTGTGAGGGGGGGGGTTAGGTAAAGGAATTTTTGTATTGGATTTAATTGGATGTTGGGGTTTGGGTATAGAGGTTGTGGTTGGTAGGGGTGGGGTTGGGTGTATTGGTGGTTTTGGGGGATGAGAGTGGAATATGAAAGGTAGGTCTTGGGGTGTGTAGTTTGGTGGTTATTGTTTGGTTTTGGTTTGTGTGGTGGGGTGGGGGGAGGGATGGATGGAATTTAGGATTGAATGGGAGGGGGGTTTAGAGGGGGTGTGGGGGTGGGGTTTGGTTTGTGGTTGTGGAGGGTTTGTGTGTGTTGGAATGAAGTTTGGAGAGGTGATGTTGAAGTTGATATTTTTAGGGAAGGATGTTTAGGGTGTTGTGGTTTTTTTTTTGGTGTTGTGGGGGGGGGGTGTTGTTGTGTGTTTTGTAAGAGGATGTAGTTGGGTGTGGTGTGAGGATGGTATTTTGGGTAGGGGGTGATTTGTTATATTTTGGTTTGGGGGTTGTTTTTAGTGAAGGGGTGAGGAGTATGTTATTTTGAGAGAGATTATTATTATTAGGGGGTGTGTTTTGTGTGTGGTGGAGGGGGTGGGTTGTTGGTGTTAATGAGTGGGGGTGAAATTGGGTAGGGGGGGGTTGTGAGAAGGGTTAGGGGGTAGTATTTGTTTGTGAATAGGTGGGTAGTTGAATGGGGGGGTGAATGAGTTTGTGGGTGTATGTGGTGTTAGGGTGATATATGGGGGTGGGGTGGAGTTGGTGTTGATGTTGGGGTAGGGGGATGTAGAAGTGGTTTGAATGAGAGTAGTGGGTATGGATTTGAATGAGTTAGTTGGTGGGATTTGTTTGGGTGGGATGGTAGAGGAATTGTTTTTTTGTTTATTATTTTGTGGGATGGGTTGGTTGGGAATGAAAGGGTGTGTGAATGGAGTGGATGGGGGGATTGATTAGAATAAAGTGGGTGATAGGTGTAAAGGTTAAGATTGGTTAGTAAGTTGAGGATAATGGGTATAAGATGTGGTGGGGGGGGGGTTGGGGTGGAGGGGATGGGGGTTTTGGTTTTTTAAATGAAGAGGTTGGTTTTGGTTGGGGTGATTGGGGGGGTGGGATTTTGTGTAGTAATAAGGTGGGGGAGGTGGGATGTGTTTTAGGTGGGGTTTGGTGGGGGGTTTATTTTGGGTTGGGGGGGGAGGATGAGAGGGGGAGTTTGGTGGGGAAGTAGGGAGTGGGGGTGAGGGGGGAAGGGGTTTTATAATTTTTGTTATGGGTTAAGAGTGTTTAGAGGGATTTTGTAGAATTGGGGGGGGGGTGGTTAGAGGGTTTGTGGTGGTTTTAGATATAGGTTAAATGTTGAGATTTGAAAGTGAATGGATGAGTAGTGTATGTGGAATTATGTGGTGGTTAAGGAAGGGGGGAAGTGGAGTGGTTGGTGGGTGGGGGGGTGGGAGGTTGTAGGATGTTGGATGGGATGAGGGGAATAAAGGGGAAAGGGGGGGGAAGGGGGGGGTTGGATGGGGGAGGGGGGGTAGATGGTATATTAATGAAATAAGGAGAGGTGAATAAGGGGGGTGGGAGGGGAGGGGATGGATGAGATTTTAGGTTTGGGATTGGAGTTGGGGTAAGATGGGTTAGTAATTGGTTATTTAGATTGGAGTGGGGGGGTGGTTTGGAGGTTGTGTGTGGGGTTTTGGGATGAGGAGGTTTGTTTGGTTGTTGTTTTTGGGGTGGATGTTTATGGATTTGATTGGGGTTTTAAGAGAGTGTGATTGTTTGTAATTTTATGATTTGGGTTTTGGTAGGTGGGAGTAGAAGGGGGTTGTTAGTAATAGTATGTGGGATATTTTTTGATGTTTGGGGGGATGGTTGTTGATTTTTATATGTGTTTTATTGGAGATGAAGGTTGGGGGGGGGGGGGTTTATAGGGGGGTAAATTTTATGGGGGGTTTGGGGGGAAAGGGGGGGGGGTTAAGGGGGTTGGGGTAAGGGATGGGGTGTTGTTTGGTTGGAATTTGAGTTTGGATTAGGGGTTTTGGTGGGTGGAAGTTGGGTATGAGGGTTGGTAAAGTGTGGGGGGAGAGATTTTTTATTTGGAAGGGGAGGGTTTGTGGGGGGAGGTTAGTGGGTGGGTATGATTGTTAGGGAGGGTGGTATTTTGTTTGGTTTATTAGGGTGGGAATGTGGGTTGTGGAGTGGTGGGAGGGGGAGTTATGGTTTAAGTGAATTTATATTGTGGTAGATTTATGTGGTGGGGGGGAAGGTGTAGTGGGGAGGGGTGAGTAGGGGAAGAAGGAGGGTTTTGAAAATAGATGTGGGGGATGTGAGGGGTGAGGTTGTAGTTGTATTAAGGGTGGGAGAGGTTGGGGGAGGAGTGTGGTATAGTGGGTTAGGGGGGATAGAAGTTGTATTGAGTGGATAGAGTTTGGTGTGATATGATATTGTAGTGAATTGTTGATTTTGGATATTTGGTTTTGGGGGGATGGTGTGTGGTATGGGGAGATTGTGGGTTTGTATTTTGATATGGGGGTTGGGGTGGTGGGTTGTGTGTTTTTGTTGGATGGGTGGGGGGTTGATGGGAGTGTTGGGGATGGTTGTTTGGTGGGGTTGGGTGGGGGGTGAGGGGTGTGTGTTGTTTGTAGGGGGTGTGGGGGGGGGGGGTGGATTGAGTGTGTGGGGGGTTGGGGGGGGTTGGGTGGGGGGGGTGGGGGGGTGTGGGGGGATGTTGGTGTTTGGGGGGTGGGTGGGGGTATTGTGGGGGGGGGTGGGGTGGGTGGTTTGGGTTTGGGGGGGTGGGGGGGGGGGGTGGTGGGTTTTTTGGGTTTTGGTGGGGTGGTGTGTGGGGTTGGTGTGTTGGGGTGGGGGGTTGTGGGGTTGGTTGGTTGGTGTGGGTTGGGGTTGGGGTTTGTTTTTGGGGTTGGTGGTGTGTGTGGGGGGGGTGTTGTTGGTTTGGGGTTGGGGTGGGGTGTTTGGGTGGTGGTGTGTTGGGTTGGGGGGTTGGGGAGATTGTTTTATGGTGGGTGATGGGGGGTTTATTGTGATGTTTGGGGTTATGGGGTAAAGGAATGCGAATGGTTTTTGAGTTGGGGAAGGGAGTAAGGAGTAGGAGAATATATAATTGGGGAATGGTGGGGGGGGGTTTGAAGGGTTTATATTGTTAGTGATATAATATATATAATTATATATATAGTAAAGAGGGATGAGGGGGTGGGGGGATGTTGATTGGTGGATGAAGTGGGGGGGAGGGGTGGAAGATAAGATATTGGAATATAGGGGATGTGGGAGGGGGGGTTTGGTTTAAGGTAAGTTATTGTGGGGGGGGGGGTATGAAAGAATGGGGAGTGATGAAGAAAGGTAATTGAGGGGTTGGGTATGTGGTAGGAATTTATGTGAGTGGATAATGAAGGGGTTGGTGTAGAGGTAGATAGAAGGGTAAGTATTAAATATAATATGGGGTGAGGAATTGATTTAGGGGGGGGTTGGGAGGGTGGGGTTAATGGGATAATAATAATTTGATGGGGGATGTATGGGGAAAGGTTAAAAATTTTTGTTGTGAGTTTGGGGGGGGTATGGGGGAGTGTTGGGTGGGTGTTTATGGGTGTTGGGTGGGGAGATTTATTAATATAGTGAGTTGTGGGAGGGGGTTGGGGGATATTGATGAGTTTGTTGGGGGGTTTTGGAGGTGAGTAAGGGGGGGGGTTGAGTGTGTGGGATATGGGGGTGTGGTATGGGGGGTTGATGGGGGTATATGTGGGTATGGTTAGGTAATTAGTGGGTGTTGATGGAGGTTTAGATTGTTGGGGTTTTAATGGGTTAAGGTGAGGGAGGGGGGTGGGGGGGGGGGGGGGGGGTAGATGTAAAATGGGTAAGGGGTAATTTTTAGAGGGGTGTGGGGGTTAGGGTTTGGTATAGGGGATATGTTGGGGGGAAGTTGGTGGGGTTTGAAAGAAAGTAGTTTTTTTTGTGGGATTGTTGAAGGGTGGTAGTGGGGGAGATTGTGAGGGTGGGGAGTGGGGGAAAGAAGGGGGATAGGGGGAGGAGGATAGGGTTGTGGGGGGGGGGGGGGAGGTTTTTGTAGATGGGTTGTTTATTGTGGTGGTTTGGTATGGGGGTATGAGGGTGGGTGGTTTGTGTGGGATGTTATGTGGGTATGTGGATTTGGGTGGTAAAGGGTGGTGGAATGTGTGTGGGTGGGGTAGAATGTTGGGGAGAGGGATGATGGGAATGGGTGGGGATTGTTATTGGGTTGTAGGATATGGGGAGGGGAGGAGATGAATGGGGTATTGTGTTTTGGGTTGGATATGGGGTTAGGATGAGGGAGGAAATGGGGGGGAGATATATGAATAGGTAGATTTTATGGTATTTTAAAGAGGGGATAGTTTTAGGAGGTTTTGGAGTTGAAGGGGGGTGGGTGGGGGGTAGGGGAAGGATAAGGAGAGGAGGGTATTATTTTATTATTTGGAAGGGGTTGGATGGGTGGTAGTAGGAGTATATTATGAGGATTTTTATTTGGGTAAGGGGAAGGGAAGGGATTAGATCCGTGAGAGAGCATGTATTTTAAGAGATGGTGTATAGGATGGTGGGTTGGAGGGGTGTACTTTATTTATGGTGGGGGTGATGATTTATTATTATGATTTATGGGGTATATAATATGATGGTGTTGTTAGTTTTGTGTGGTGTTGTGTGAAAGATTTGGTAATGTGGTGTTATTTGTGTTATTATATATGGTAGGGGGGGTTGGGGGGAGGGGATTTTTAAATTTTGGAGGTAATGGGATTGGAGTATGGGATTATATTTGGGAAAGGGGGATGTAGGTAAGTTGGGTTGGATGAATGTGGGGGAATGTGTAAATAGGTAATAATAATAATGGAAGATTATAATTTTGATGTAATAGGGGGATAGGGTTTTGCTTAGTGGGTGGGAAAGTTGGAAGAAATGATGTTTAGTAATGGAAATGAAAAGGGGTATGAGTTGGAGGAAGGTGAGGGAGTGGTATTGGTGGGTGAATATGGGGGGGGAGGATGTTTGGTTGTATGGTATTTTGGTGGGGGGGATGATGGGTGGGGTGGGGGGAAGGTTTAGTATTTGGGGGGGTTTGGAGGAGGGGGGGGATTGGGAAGGATTGGAGGGATGATGGTTTTGGTTTTTTTTGAAGGGGTTTTGAGATGGTTGGGTGGGTTTTGTTATTGTTGTGGGAGTTGTTTGTGGGGTGTGTAGGTTAATATTTTGATGTTGTTATGGGTGGGGGGGGTTAGGGTTGTCTGAGATGGGGTTGATTTTGGGTTTTGGTTGGGGGGTAAGGTGGGTAAGTATAATATGAGGGGTGGGTGAGTGGTTGTATTGGGGAGGAAAATGGGAGGATTTAGGTTGTGGGGGGTTGGGGGTAGAGTTAATGAGGGTGGGGGGAGGTGGGGGGAAGGGTTGGAAGTGTATTGTTTAGGTAATATGAATGTTTTGGATGGGGTTTTGGGTTAGATTTTAGTTAATTTGTGAGTTGGGAATTAGGTAGTTTATGGAGTGAGGGGTTAAAGATGAGGTGTGTTGGGTGAGGTTTGGGGGTGTATTGGTTGGGTGGGAATGTTTGGGGGTGTGGGTAGGGATGGTGAGTAGAATGATGGGGGGTGTGTTTAAGGAAGGAAGTGGTTTGTGGAATTTTGGAAGGTGGGGGAGGAAAAGGTTGTGAAGTGAATTGGGATTAGGAAGGGTTTGTATTGTGTTTTTGAGGGAATTTTTGGGGTAGTAGATGATATGAATTTGGGGGGGGGAAAGAAATAAGAAAGGTAGATGGGAATTGATATAATTTTGAATGTTGATTATATGGGTGGTGGGGTGGAGGGGGGGGGAGGAGAATGGATATTGGGAATGGTATAAGGAGTTGAGTTGTTGGGGGTGGATGGGGGGGGGGTGGTGGTGGTGGGTATGGGGGGTTGTTTATTTTATTTGGTTTTGATTGGGGGTTGGGGTATGTGGGTGGATGTTGTATGGTTTGATTGGGTGAATTGTGTGTGGGGGATTGTTGGTGGGGGTTAGGTGGGAGAAGGGTATTATGATGTGGGAGAATGTGGTTGAAAAGGGAGTGGGTGTGGAAAGTGGGGGGTGGGGTATTATGTTTTTAAATATGATTTTTGTGTAATTATGGTTGGTTGGGTATTGGGGGGGAGGTTTGGGGGTGGGGGTATTGGTTAGTGTTGAGGAGGTGTTAGAGGTAATGGAATGAGGGGTAAGGGGGTGTGGATTGAGGGATGTTTGGGGTGTTATGGATTGTGTGTATTTTTGGTATATGTGAAGGGGAGTTAAAGGAAGAGAGTTGAAATATGGGTGTAATATTTAATAAGTGATATTATATTGGTGGTAGGGTTGTTAGGTGATTTAGTTTTTGGAGGGATAATATAGGTTATAAATAAATAAATGATGCTAGGATTGTTTTTGTTTGTTAAAACCTCCAGCTTAATAATAGTAATAATAATAATAATCATCAAGCTTGTACAGCGCTTTTTTGGGCACTTTTTTGGGCACTCAAAGACGCTTCACATGTGGAATAAAATACAATAATAAGCCAGGGGTTTATGGAAAAGCTTGTTTGAAAAGATGGGTTTTGAGACTGATTTAGAGTTTGGTAGCGAGTCAGAGTGAGGGTTAGTGCGGGTGATAGGAAGGAGCAGGTTGGAATGGGCTGAGCGAAGGCGGCGGGTGGGTTGGTGCTGTTGTAGGAGCTCAGTAAGGTATGGGGCGGTGCCAGGTTATGGAGGGACTTGTAGGTGAGGAGAAGGAGCTTGTACTGGATGCGGTATTGAACGTGGAGCCAGTGGAGCTGCTGAAGGACAGGGGTGATGTGTTCTCTGGACCGGGTGTGGGTGAGGAGGAGGCGTTCTGCAGAGTTCTGGATGTATTGCAGTTTTTGAGATGAGCTTGTTAAAGTCTCCCTGATGACATGTTTTTGACTTTACAATAGGCGGCTCGCTATTGAAACAATTCATCTTTTTGTTTTTTAGCATGGGGAATATGAAGCTGATGAGGTGTAACATACAGACTCTTTCTTAACGATGTATAACAGAATTAGGCTTAACACATTTTCACTTAAATCTCCATTGACTGCACACGACTCCAAATCCCACCCTGCTCCATCGCACGTCTGAGTTCTTTGTACTTACAATCGCTGCGCACATTGTGTAGTACTTTTGTGTGTTTGTCCGTGGAGAGTTTGATTGCGGCGCTTGCAGGAATCAATAGCTGCTGCCGCCGCGAGAGTGCAAAGAACAATAGAGGTTAAGTGAATTAACTCAGCACTTTGTTTCTGCCACTCAGGTCTCATGCAGAATGTTAACACGGATGAATCAATCTTCAGCCATATCTGCTCCATTGTGCTTGTTTAACAATTCCTGCACAGAGGGACATCCTTAAATCATCACAGCAGATTGACAAAGCGATATGAATGAGTGAGGATACAAGGGGCAAGAAGGAGGCTGTGAAATGGGAGATGTTTAAAGCGCTTTTCCAGATAGTAACGTCGTGCTCTATAAGACAGAGATCCTCCAGTGGATACAGAGGTTGAGATGGACTTTGGGTTTGGATTGCTGTTTACCTTTATGATTCCTATATAATGATAACAGTAATAAATCTGTATTTGTGTAGCACTTTTCAATGATAGTGTTTCCAAAACGCTGCACAGTCAGAATAACTAATAAACAGTAAAATACAACACACTAAGGATTATATAGATATAGGCTGTTATCTCAAGTTGTTCCGAATGGAGAAGGCTTGATCACCTTTCGTCCGGAGCCTCCTCCTGGAACGCAGCTTGTGTGTGTGTCCGGAGGCAGTTGGAACAAAGAGACAAAGAGTGGCAGATGTAGCCATTAGTAGCCATTATATAGAATAGTTAGAGATATATAAGACCTCGCTATCAGAATCAATGTATTGCCATTTGCAGAAAATAACTCCTCAATGGTCTCGCCCCGCCTTACTTGTCCGAATTTTTCACTGTTCGTGACTCAGGCAGATTATTGAGATCCTCATCTCAACTCCTCCTGGAAGTACCTAGGACTAGGTCCAAACACTGGG